CATTGCTGCCTTGGTTCGTATACGTGTAGCACGCAATCGGTTTCTATTATTGTTCGTGGCACCGTTCCGTGTACCACCCAACCGAGTTGTGTTCTTGATGCCGCTGGCTGATCAAGGCGGCCGACTCGTAACTCACGGGACACGATGCATTCCCAGTGGTCTGTCCCCACTAGGATGCCTGGGCGAACTTGATCGTAGCTTATCGTTTCCATGTCTAAATCTTCCAGGTGTTCGCTCTTCACCAGATCTTTGGAAATGGACTGCCTGCGCAGTCGCAGATCTCTTATCGTTCGAGCTTTCAGGTTGAAAGTCTCTTCTTCTTTGAGGCCCCGAATTGAGAAGGAGACTCGTCTGCTGGAATGTTCGTTCTGTTCCATGTTCACGCCTTGAAGGTGCAGCGGTTCTGCAGGGCCTTCGGCTCCGATCATTTGAGCCAGCCGTTCGTCGATCAGCGTTATCGTTGCTCCTTCATCTAGCAGGGCGTACGTCTTGAGCTCCCCCCGTGGTCCGCTAATTACCACGGGACATATCTTCAGAAGAACGCTCCTAGGGCCGGTAGCTGATCTGGGCGCTACCGACAGGACAGCTTCTTCGTCGGACTTCTCTGGGTCTGGCTTGGCGTCTTCGTGCAGTGAGGGGTGGTGAGGTCGTCGACATTCGTTCACACCGCATGCCTTAGCTCTGCATGCGATGCGCCTGTGCTTGCTTGAGATACATCTGAAGCAGATCTTCTTGTCCTTCACCAGCTCCCACCGCTGTTCCACAGTCAGTGCCTTATATTTAGGGCACTGTGGCAACGAGTGCTGCTGGCCGCAGCTAGGGCAGACGTCGGTACCTCCTGCGTACTCGGCGACAGCGTAGACAGGCTGCGTCTTCTTTTTCAATACGACGGCAGGTCTGATCTCCCGTCTAGCTGTGTTCGTCGTGCTGGTGCTCGTTGCTGGTGCGTATGCGAAGCGTAGCGTTCGATCAGCTTCGCGCATAAGAAAGCGCGACAATAACGCTATCTCGGGCTCAGTTGTGTCTTCATGTTCGTGTGCGTAATCGCACCATCTGGATCGCAGATGTGGACTCAACTTGTCAACGACTTCTCGTGCTAAGAGCGGGTTGTATAGGTAGCCCCTCTTATCTATTGTTTGCAGTACGCAAACAGTGTTCTGCACTTTAATTGCGAACGCGTTCAGCTCGCTCGCCGATGAATCCGGCTTCGGCAGCCGTTTCAGTTCGTCTAGCGCTCGGTCTATTAGCACTTCCGGCCTACCGAAGCATTGTTCTAGAGTCTTCATAATGATCGCTGGGTCAGACGCTGCATAAAGAAGTGCTGCGACGGCGTCCCTCGCTTCTCCCTTGAGGCAGCTTCGCAGTCGCTGAATGTTTTCGGCCGGCGACACGTCGTACATGTTCGTTGTATCTTTATAAGCGGCATAAAACGGCAACCATTCATTTACGTCACCCGAGTAGATCGGCAGATCGGTATGACGTAGACGTGGTCGCGCCATCTTCTCTAACGTTGCTGCCAGCTGTTCGATGCCACTTCTTCTGGTGGGCGTCGGCGATCTAGTTCGTTGTGTGGTCCTAGGTTCATTGATCTGACCACTTACCACCTCCCCCCGTGGTTCAGGAGGGTTTGAATGTAACCACTCGACCACCTTCTCACGATCTTGAGCAGGGGCGAAGGGTACATCGGGTAGATTTTCCCGGTCATCGTGGATGGCAGATACCTGGGCTGCTAGCCGCTTTTTCACGAGCTCTGCCTCCAGTTCCAGTTCTCTTCTCGTGATGGCAGCCAATCGTTCTGCTGCCTCTAGTTCTGCCAGCTTTAGTC